CGGAGGGTGGGAGGTCCCCGGCCTCCAGCCACTCTCCACGGCCGCCCTCCTTCCCGCGCAGCCGCCCGGACTTGCTCCCGGGAAGCGCGCAGCGGCCGAGGTGCCCTCTGCAAACCTCATACCCACTCCGTCCTCCCGGGACGCTGCTGACATGAAATCAAACCAGACGCTCTCCCAGCCAGACCAGGGGGTTCCCGGCATCTGCGATCCGAGGTGTCGCCTTCCCAGCATGCCCGGGGCGTGTTGCCAGGCCCGACACCACCCCCTCCAGGTGTAGGCCTCCATCCCCCGCAGTCTTCAGACAAAGCGGCTCTGAAGTGAGCGGGGAGTGCCCGGGGCATAAAGCCCTCTGCCCTTTGCCCTCTGCATACCAGCCACTCGCCGCGGGTCCTCTCTGGGCGCGCTCCGTCCAGTGCACAGCAGGGCGGACAACGACGGGCCCCTCCCTGGGCGCCACGCCTGCTCCTGCCCCTGCTCCACCCTCACAGCACCCGAGAGGAAGGGCACTGGTATTAGACCCATTTCAGAGATGGGGAAACTGAGGCTCGGAAGGGCTAATTACCTCGGCAGAGGCAGGGCTGGAGCCCAGGCTGCCCAGAGCCAGGGCGTGGGCCCCGCTGACGGTCCTCCTGGTTCTCGGGCACCTGGCTGGTTGCGAGGAGTGTTTGTCCGCGCGGTTGGGCCGTGGGAAGCGCCGGAATGTGGGGTGGGTGTCGCTTAGTAAACACCGTGGCTGCAGAGAGGAACGCCTGGGTGGTGCGGCTGGACGGTTCCAGCGCGTCCGTGGTCGCTGCCCTTGCTGCCGTGGGAAGTGGCGGGAGCACATGTGGCCTGGGCCTGCGTCCCCTGCGCTGGACGGAGGCGGGTGGCGGGCGAATGCGGCCTGGGCACCCTGGCACCCGCGAAGGCAGAGCCTGCAGTACCCGCTCTCACTGGGAGGTGGCGCCCTTCCCCAACAGTTGGAATCTGTGGCTTTTAGGCCTCAGCGGCCACAGATCCCGGTATTAGTCAGAAAAACCAACCAGAGGCCCTGTCCTCCGCGGTCTCCCCCCCAGCACTGGGCCGGACCCCCTGCTGCACTGAGTTCCCTCGGCAGAGGGGGCGCAGCGGAGGGGGGTCCCGCTCAGGTGGGCGTGGGGAAGGATTGACATTGTTAATTGTGTTTTTTAAATATTTTATTATATATGAAATATGAAATAGGGAAATATGAAAACAGACCATATTATGATGCTCTCCCATTTTTCTTACATTGAAAGATTTCAGTATCGTATCAGATCAAGTAATTAGTGTATAATCATCACAAATATGTAAACACATGTTGAGAAAAGAGAAATAAGCTTTGTAGATTTTTTATAACTGACGCCACTGAAATTTTAAATAACCTGCATAATTTATATATTGAGCTCACGCTTTAATTCTATAGATTTCTCTTCCAACCACGCAAATACTCACATATTTCACAACTACTCTAAGAAGAAATCAGTGTTGTTGTTTGTTTGTTTGTGTTTTTTGGTTTTGGGGTGTGTGTTTTTTTTTTGCCTCTTGTTATCCTTCTTATTTTTAAGACCCAGTTCCAGGCGTGTCTTCCCTATGGCAGCATCATGACGGAACTATCCCAGCATGCTCTTTCGTCTCTGAGTGGTAGCATTGTTCTGTACACACTGTTCCTTTTATATTAAACAGCTGCCGATCTAAGACACCTCTTCTAGTGTTTACACTATTATGGAATAATTGAT